TACAATCAATGTACAGAAATCAGTATCATCATTATGTACTAATAACAGTCAAGCTGAGAGTCTAATCAAGAATTCAATATCCTTTATAATAGCTACAAAGAAAATAAAATACCTAGGGATACACTTAACCAAAGTATATTTACCTAGGAATCTCTACCAGGAGAATTGCAAAACACTGATGAAAGAAATCACAGAAGACACAAACAAATGAAAAAACATCCCATGTTCATGGACTAGAAGATACAATATTGTTAAAATGTCCATATTGCCCCAAGTGATTTATAGACTCAATGTGATTCCCATCAAAATATCAATGTCATTTTTCACAGATCTACATAAATTAATTGTAGACTTCACACGGAACCAAAAAAGAGCCCAAATATCACAGCAATCTTATGTAAAAAGAACATATCTAGAGGCACTGCATTATCTGACTTCAAATTATACTACAAAGCTATAGTAACCAAATCAACATGGTACTGGCATAAAGGTACACAAATAGACCAATGGAACAGAATAAAGAATCTAAAACTAAACCATATAGCTATGACCAACTGATTTTCCACAAAACAGGCAAAAATATTGCTAACAAGAGAACGCCTTAGCCAATGAAGGGTGCTGGGAAAACTGGGTAGCCACATGCAGAAGAATGAAACAGGATGCCTATCTCTTGCCATACACAAAAATTAACCCAAGACGAATTAAAGATTAAAGGTAAGGCCTGAAAATCATAAAAATTCTAGAAGAAAATGTAGGAAAACACTCTTCTAGAAATCAATCTAGGCAAAGAATTAATGACTATGGCCCAAATGAGGTAAACAGAGCAACAACAAAAATAAACAGAACTTACTTAAAGTTTCTGCAAAGCAAGGCAATTCATCAACAGAGTGAACAGATGACCTACAGATGCACAGAATATATGTAAACTACACATCTGAAAAAGAGCTAATATCCAGAATCTACAAATAACTCAAATAAATCACCAAGAAAAAAAACAAATGTCCCCATTAAAAATCAGCAGAAGACATGAACAGATTCTTTTCTTTTCTTTTTTTTTTTTTTTTTTTTTTTTGAGACAGAGCCTCAAGCTGTCCCCTTGGGTAGAGTGCCATGGCATCACGCTCACAGCAACCTCCAACTCCTGGGCTCAAGTGAGTCTCCTGCCTCTGCCTCCCAAGTAGCTGGGACCACAGGCGCCCACCATAATGCCTGGCTATTTTTTGGTTGCAGCTGTCATTGTTGTTTTGGCGGGCCCAGGCTGGATTCGAACCCGCCACCTTAGGTGTACGTGGCTGGCGCCTTAGCCGGTTGAGCTATAGGTGCCGAGCCAACAGATTCTTTTCAAAAGAAGATAGACAAATGGCCAACATATACATGAAAAAAATGCCCAACATCACTAATCATCAAGGAAATGCAAATTAACACGATGATGAGATACCACCTTAATCCCTATCAGAATGGCCATTAAAGAAATAAAAAAAAAAACAGCACACTTATTAAAGAGTGTTGGGCGCAGTGGCTCACGCCTGTATCCTAGCACTCCGGGAGGCTGAGATGGGAGGACTGCTTGAGCTCACCAATTTGAAACCAGCCTGAGCCAGAGCAAGACCCTGTCTCTACTAAAAATAGCATAACTGAGGCAGCAGGATCTCTTGAACTCAAAGGTTTCAGGTTGCTCTGAGCTATGATGATGCTACAGCACTCTACCCAGGGCAATGGAGTAAGATAAAACTCTGTCTCAAAAAGAACAAATTATTAAAGTGAAAATGTGGACATTGAAACTAAGCCAGTTTAATATCCACAAAGACGTTAGAATTCTTTCAGTAATGTTTTCTGAGTATGTTTCCACAGACATGTACCGATCATGCATAGAGGGGACTGAAAAAATCTATGCTAAGGGAGGGAGATTAGTAATGGACATTATCTAACAATAATGTACATTTGACTTTGATTTTTTTCATCAAAAAAGAATCTTAAGAATAAATGAAAGCAGAACCCAAAATATAAAAGGTTAAAAACATACAAATTCACTGAATGACTACTGAGTCATCTACAGATGAGATTCCCTGACAGAATTTATAGATAACCCAATCTCTAGTTATTGTATTTGCCTTAATCCTTGTCTAGAGAATTCCATCCATATGTCCTCCAGTGGACTCAGTGACTCAGGCACTTCAAGGACTGCTACTTAAACATGAAATATTCCAGACAGCAAGAAATCTTCTCAATAAGCAGATGCATCAGATTAAATGTGCCATTAAAAAAGAAAAAACCCAATGATATATTTCGTGTTTCTCAAAATACTAAGGAAATGAGGAAACTAGGTCCTCATTTAAGAATATTCTAATGGCACAGTAATTTTTTTAAATGGCAAGAAAATAACCTCCCTCGCAAATGAACACATTTCTACAGCTGTAAGAACTCAAGTGACAATACTGTACATTTATTTCAAAGTGGAAAATCCCGGTGACTCTAAAGGCGCTTGATTTCAGTTTGTTTCCTGTGGTTACTGTAATTGTTTTAACTACCCCAACATCTCTGGCAATGGAAACACACCTGGCTTTACTTCGGTATATCAAGATGAGGACACAGATGAGGATGCAGGTCAGAGCTATGCCAACGCCTACGGCAATGCCAGTCATTGATTTCTGGTCCAGATGGTAATAACCTGAATAAACTAGAAGGAAAACACATTTACTCGGAATCAATCAGAAAAACAGGTAATACCTTTTATCATAATTCTCAGGTTATTTCCTTTTCTGTAATTCTCCCCCATCTCAGGAAAAGTTTCGACATTAATAACGAAGCAGGTAATCTTTTATCAGTGATTTCAGAAACTGGTTTTTGTTTTAAAATTAAAGATTCTAAATACAAGTTTTAGATACCATATGGTTAAATCAAACATGAGTATCAATTCATAATTTATTGATAACAAGATCAAAACATAATTCTTCCTTGACGGGCCCAAGAACATCTTTCTGGACTTTGAGGATTACTTTTCCATTTACATACATTTGAGCAGTGCTTCTCAAACTTAATGTGCCTATGAATCACTAGGGGGTATATGAAAATGCAAATTCTGATTCACTAGGTCTGGGGTGGAGCCCATGATTTTGCATGTCTAACAGGGTCTCAGGTGATGGCCATGCTGCTGGTCCCTAAGCCACTATGAGTAGCAAGGTATTTTGGGAAGCAAATGTGAGCCTTACCTGATGATACGTGGCTACCTCCTTCCTGTTCTAAATCTATTACTCTTCTCCTTTCCTCCCCATTTCCCTTTCCAACACACACACACCTAGCATTGAATGATATTCTTTATGAATCCAAGAGCTAAGGCTGGGCACAGTGGCTCACACCTGTAATCCTAGCACTTCGGGAGGCCAAGGCAAATGGACCTTCTGAGCTCAGGAGTTCAAGACCAGACTGAGCAAAACTGAGACCTGATCTCTAAAAAAATAGTGGAGCACTGTGAAGGGTGCCTGTTTAAGCCCAAGAGTTTGACAATAGCTGTGAGTTATGACACCACTGCACTCTACAGAGGGGGAACAAAGTGAAACTCTGTCTCAAAAAAAAAAAAAAATCTAAAAGCCCTTCATTGTGTCTTGAGTTCAGCTGACACTTCCTTCATTTGAAACTGCCCTCCTTCTCCACAGGCCCATTCCCTCAAAGAGGAGGAAAAGGAGATGTCTAGTTCTGTACCCCTGGAGGCACCAACTGCTTTTCTGGAGGGAAAAAAACCCCTCTCTCCAGAAAGCCTGTTTTTTTTCTGTGGTGAAAACTCTTAATGGAAACCATACACTTCTTAACTTGAACACCACAGCCACCACTGCTGTTTATTTCCATGAAACCTCCCAGGAAGCTCACTCCATCAGTACACGGGTGGTGCAGCTTGTCCGTCTTGGTGGTTGCACAGCTGGGAAAAGTAGTAATTGGGAACATAGTGGTCTGAAAAATGCACTTAATTATGAGGTAATTTTGCCTACTTCTAGAAGTACAGAGAAGAGCCAGGCACCTCCCTAACATCAGAACCTCACCAGCAACAATTTAAGGAACTGAGTGTAGGTTTAGGGAGATGGTAACTGCAGGAGCTGAAATAAAGTGTAAGGGAAATAAATATATATTTTTTTCTTAAATTACAGTGTCCATGGCAGTGGCAGTGGCAGTATACAGACCTTTGGCATCACCAGAATCTAAACGCTTGGGCCTCTGGTTTGATTCAGACGTTTCCTTTGGAAGTACTGCCAGCTCCACTGAATTTGAAAAGGGTCCTTCTCCCACCTCATTGGATGCTGATATCTTGACAATGTAAACATTTCCAGCTACCAGATTTTCCAGCAAAGCCATGGTTATTGCCCCTATAAATACATCAATTACAAATTAAGTAAATATGTATCATTTATTCTTTCAATTACATAAATACGGTTCTTTTTTAAAAATATTTTTCTGATTATAAAGGTAACAGGTTTATCATAGTTATTTTGAAAATATTTTTCTAATTATAAAGGTGGCATATGTTCATTGCAGAAATTCAGAAAATAAAGATAAATCTAAAAAAATTACAATCTCCCATTATCAGCATTTTAGTGCATTTACTGCATGCATTTTTTTTTTTTTTTTTCTCACAACTATACAAACGAAGAAACATATTTTTCATTTAACAGTGCACCAGGCACATTTCCCCCCCAATCCTTCTCTGTAATTTCATTTTGGGAGTAGTTCTTAAAAGTAGCACTAATATTTGGGTATATATAATTTAAAATATATAAAAAATATATATAGGGTCTGGTGCGGTGGCTCACACCTGTCAATCCTAGCACCTTGGGAGGCTGAGGCAGATGGATTGCCTAAGCTTACAGGTTTGAGATCAGCCTGAGCCAGAGCAAGACCTCATCTCTAAAAATAGTCGGGCATTGTGGTGGATGCCTGTAGTCCCAGTTACTTGGGAGGCTGAGGCAAGAGAATCACTTGAGCCCAAGAGTTTGAGGTTGCTGTGAGCTATGGCACTCTACTGAGAGAGAGAAAGAGACTGTTTTTTTTTTTTTTTTTTAAAAAACCAAACCAAACCAAAAACCTCAAAACATGTTCAGTGAACATTTTTGTTCTTCTGAAGTTTCTTTTTTTGGG